TAAAGGATTACATGATGTTCTTCTGGAGAGTCAGAAACTTAACTTCAGCGGGGAGAAACCCGATGGGGGAAATAAAACCAAAAGGCAAGGTCTCCCACACCCCCAACAGAGGTCTCAGTCCAAAAGTGGCTGGCTCTGTTCCTCAGGGCTCAAGGTGAGGCAGAACATCATGGCGGGCAAGTGTGGCAGGGGGAACCAGCTCACATGATGACCAGGAAACAAAGAGAGAGGTTTCCACTTGCCATATACAAATATATACTCCAAAGCCACACCCCTAATCCTTACCTCCTCCAGCCACATCCTACCACTTCAGTTACCACTCAGGGGATTAATTCACTGATTGAGTTAAGACTCTTACAACCCAATCATTTCTTCTGAACCTTCTTGCATTGTCTGACACATAAGCTTGAAACATCCAAACCATAACATAATCCCAGTAATTTGGGAGGCTGAGGCAGAAGGATTGCAAGTTCAAGGCCAGCCTCACTGAGATTTAGTGAGCCCTGTCTCAAAATAAAAAGAGCAGGGGTAATGTACCCATGGGTTCAGTCCACAGAGACCCTGCCCCCCAAAAAAGGTAATTTTTTTTTTTAAAGCTACCTTATCTCTTTGGTCAAATAGTGAAGGAATTTAAGAGTCATGTGCCTTTGATATGTGTTTTTCCTTTTATTTGTGATTAGACTTTGCTTTTTATTTCTTCAGAATGTCCATGCGAACCTTTGCAGTGTGAAGGCCCAGGCAGCAGATTATGCAACCACTACTGCCTTTAGTATAACTGTTGATTAGAGGAGAGGTATGTGTTGCCTAAACACATGAGTCTTTGATTACAGATAGGTTTTTATTTCTGCATAGACTATTCAAATGAAGATTATAATTATGTGTATTTTATAGAATTTTAGGATTTAACTCACACATTTACAAATATTAAAGCTTATGTAGTACATGATAAGCATTTGGTAAAAGTTTAATATTACTAGTATAATTATTATATGTAAAAATTGAGTCATTTTACATAGACTACTGTAAACATTGAAGCTTTTGTTATATATCTGGGTTCCCAAAACCACCAGCATGAGCTTTGTGTTCTTTCAAAGGTGAATATTGCTTTGTAAGAGTATATTCATGGTCAGGTGTGGTAGCACACATGCAGTTCCAGTTACTTGGGTGGTTGAGGTAAGAGGATCCAAGTTTGAGGCTAGCCTGGGCAACTTAGGGAGATGCTGTCTGAAAATCAAATTTATAAAGGGCTGGAGTACAGCTCATTGGTAGAATACTTGTCTAGCATGTGTGAGGCTTTGGGTTCAATCCTTCATACTACCAAAAGAAAAACATATATAATATAATATATTTATATGTGTGTATATATTTTATTCATGAAGTAACTGTGGATTTAGGTATTAGGTGGCAGAAAGGAAATTGTGGTAGGGAGGGCCTTCTGAAGTCCTCCAGATTTAAAATCTCCAGGTTAGGGTCAATGAATGATTAGGAAAAAAACGTCCAGGGAGTAGTCAAAAAGTTTGAGAAAAGGTTGTTTTTTTTTTTTTTTTTAGGATGGGGGACTGAATATATTTAAAGACTGAGGGAGAAATATTACCTAGGTATATCATAGTAATTATTTTCTTCTTATCAGGGTCACAGCATAAATGGGTCCTTGATTTTATATGTCCAGTTTCTGAGGATGTTATTCAATTTATATTTTGTAATTTGGGTAAGAATTCAATTGTAAATCTTTTAATATTTACAATTATATATTTAGTGGTTTTACTTATTAATGCAGAAAAGATATTTTGTAGATATATAAAGTATTAAACTGACTTTTTTATTAGTCTATATTAATTATACAGAATAAGTCCCCTTGTTTAAATTGACTTTTAAAGTTGCCAAGAAATTTTTACATTAAAAATTTTAAAAAATATTTATTTTTTAGAAGTAGTTGAAACAATACCTTTATTTTATTTATTTTTATGTGGTGCTGAGGATCGAACCCAGGGCCTCACACGTGATAGACAAGCGCTCTACCACTGAGCCACAACCCCAACCCCAACATTAAAATTTTTTGGAATGGAAACTTCTGAATTATTCACTGAGTTCATAATTATATCTATCCTTGCAGTTGTAATTTAGTTTTATAACAATGACAGTTCAGTGCTTTTTATTTGTTGACCAATTCCCAGAAAAAGCTGAGTTATTTCCAAGTGTAACCAAGGTACCATAACTTGTAATCACGACACACGTTCTGATCCTTTTATAACTTCTTTTAATTATAAGAATAATAAACATATTCATATAATATTCAGGCATGTAGATTTGATATCAGGTGTAAGATCTCTTTTTTGTCACTTAAACTTGCCATTTCTATATCTTCTCATTGTTCATTTCTTCAGACTGTGTATGCCTATGACAACATTAATAAAGGTGTTAGGGAAACAGGGTTCTCAAACAGAATCATGTGCAGGGCAAGCTGGCACAGGAGCAGAGTATTACTCTGGTCAGCTTTAGTGAGGTAGTCAAAGAGATGTTTTTATAGGCAGTGAAAGTAGATAGGCCACTATCTCTACCATGGAGATTTTTTTGATAGGATATTTAATTCCTTTATTAAAATTAGCATCAATTTTTCCTGGGAAACTTATGATATGAAATCTAATTTGAGCACAATTTTTTTGGACTCAAATTTACTTCATGATTACAAAACAAATATGGCAAGTTACCATTTTGAGGCAGGTTGCTTAACATCTTTTTAGATTGATTTCACTCATTTAACATTGAAGCTTATGAAAGAGAATAAAATCATGACATTTGCAGGTAAATGGATGGAGTTAGAGAAGATAATGCTAAGTGAAGTTAGCTAATCCCCAAAAAACAAATGCCTAATGTTTTCCCTGATATAAGGAGGCTGATTCCTAGTGGGGTAGGGAGCAGGGAGCATGGGAGGAATGGAGGAACTCTAGATAGGGCAGAGGGGTGGGAGGGGAAGGGAAGGGGAATGGGGTTAGAAATGATGGCGGAATGTGATGGACATTATTATCCAAAGTACATGTATAAAGACACGAATTGGTGTGAATATACTTTGTATACAACCAGAGATATGAAAAATGGTACTCTATATGTGTAATAAGAATTGTAATGCATTCTGCTGTCATATATAAAAATATTTAATTTAAAAAAAATTGAGGCTTACCATTTGCCAGGTGTTATATTGTCTAGTTCTTATTTAAACTTTACGATCTACCCTTTCCTCCTGACCTCTTAGAAAAAAATAAATCAGGGAACTGGGGCTTTTAAAGTTAATAACTTCTAAGCCAGTAGAATGACCTGGAGAGCATATATTGCTGGATCCTTGAGTTTCTGATTTTGTAGGTTTACCTTAGAGTTCAAGATTTTTTATTTTTATTTTTATTTTTGATGCTGCTGGTCCTGGGACTGTACTTTGAGAACTACTGTTTACATCTCACTTGGTTCCTCTTAGGAGTTGAGGGAGAATTCACATGTTGTGATTGTGTTGATAATCATTAATATTGACTGTTTACTGTGTGCTAGTTACTATTCCAAGTTAATTCCTTTTTATCCTCACATCAATCTTAGGAAGTAATTAAATTGCAGGGAGAGGATGTGTTATGTGGGAGGGGATGAAAATAAGAGGAGGAAACTGAGGTAGAGAAGTCCAGTTAAGATGTCTTATAGTGTGTTAGTTTAGAGGTGGTTACCCTCATTATTGCTTCTGTCAGCTGAGCTGTTTCAAAGACCAGTAGTCTTGGAGCCATCTCTAGATTTCATGCAATGGGGAGGTTGAAAGAAAAGGGAACCTTTCTTTTCATCCATTGGTCTTTTGTGTCTTTGGAGGACGGTTATAGACTAGGCCTGGGAATCCTTTTCATGTCACTCTCCCAGTAATCTGAAGGGTAGATAATGTACTTTGTTATTCTGATGAATGATGTGGTTCTGGAAGTGACCCATATTTCAGGTGAGCTATGAGACTTTTGATATTCATTAGCACAGATAAAAGAGGTTCCAGGATATTTCCTATATAAGATCCATGGCATTGATGCCAGTATATTAAATTAGAAAGTATGTGGAATGGTGGCAGCCACCCTGCAACAAGGTATTCACTAATCTATGATATTAAAAACCTGCCATCACTGCTCCAGTAGCCTGGGAAAATTCCAAAAGCAAAAACAAAGGGAATAAAAAAAAATAATCTGTAATTATGTCTGAAATCTGTATTTTGCTTAGGAAACCAGGTAGTTTCCTCATGGGTTTTAAAGAAAAAGTTTTAAAGAGTAATTAGTATTAAAGAGAAAGTATCTTAGAAAGTAGTTTTAGGAGAAAGTGTAAGGCGGTTTGAAAAGGTGAGATCAGATCATATTGGTATATTAATACTTTGTGTTTGGTTCTGTTAAAATTTTTTTGAGTGACTGATATATATGGAATACTTATAAAAGTAAGACATGTTTTCTTTCCTGTCAAGGAAAACTCATAGCAGACCTCACAGTTGAGTGTTTAGTTGATTTGTATAAGAGCATTCAAATTTGAAATTAGTATAGTTTGTTGCATATATTCTTATCTTAGAAGTAATGATATCATTTTAATGACACCAGTGCTTGAATCCTGGGGCAAAGTTTTGTTTTCAATGGGACAGCAATTTTGCCACAGAATTAGAGCTAGATCCCAAGCCTCCTCACTTTCAGCTTGGAGTTCCCTTTGCTTTGAGATGGCTTGAATTATTAATTGAAGAGATTTATTTCCCAACCTTAAGCTGTGAACTTTCAAAGGGGGATAACAATTTACTCTGCTTTTTTGGATATTCATGTCTGTATTTTATCCTATATAAGGATGTTTTCTCTTTCTTTAGTATTTCAAATGCAGTAGTACAAACTCTGGAACTAATCAAGAACAAAAAGGAAATGCAACCTAGATACTTAACTTGTGGTTAGGATATTGAATTTTGACATGTGGTCTGATGGAAAAAAAAATCACAGTGTATTTATTCTGGTTTGTTGTAGGTTAACGAAGCCCTTGTCATTTGCTGATTGTGTTGGGGATGAGCTGCCATGGGGATGGGAAGCAGGGTTTGACCCTCAGATTGGTGTCTACTACATCGATCACATCAACAGTAAGTTTTTCTTTTTGCTGAAAGCAAACATTTAGAAAAGAATCTCCAAAAATCTGTACTTACATAAAAGGGCATACATTTTACAAAGTGAATTTCCTTATTTTAAACCTCCATTTTCTTAATGATTGATACTTAACTGAAATGCCTGTTTTGGTATTTGGGGCATGTGTATGGATTTGCATTATGGGGAGGGACAGAGAGGGAGAAAGAATGTGTGGTCTGGCTGGCTGTTTGCACTACAGGGAATGAGTTTTTTTCTCTAGTGCAGGTCTAGGACTCTGTGAAGATTAAAACAAACAAACAAACAAAAAAAACTGTTGGGTGACTTGTTTACAACCTCTGCATCTGATAGGATGATTCCTTCTCCACTAGTGCTTGCCCAAAGAAGAGTTGGGCATGGGCATATGCTGTCTGTAGATGCAGCTGGTGTGGACTAGGTGACCTGAGGGAGGGACTGGCACTCACCAGCAACTCTGGAAGACAGAATACATGTGGGAGAGACTGGAGCGTTTTTCTTCTTCCTGTTTCTTGATTTCTTTGTGGCAGGAAGGAAAAGTCTCATTTTTAACAGCTTTTAGATCTGTCATGGAAAGGTAGGGCAGAGGACCACTGTGGCCATGAACACCTTTTTTTTTTTTTTATTTTTTTTTATTTTTTTTTTATTGTTGGTTGTTCAAAACATTACATAGTTCTTGATATATCATCTTTCACACTTTGCTTCAAGTGAGTTATGAACTCCCATTTTTAGCCCATATACAGATTGCAGAATCACATCAATTACACATCCATTGATTTACATATTGCCATACTTGTGACTGTCATGTTCTGCTACCTTTCCTATCCTCTACTATCCCCCCTCCCCTCCCCTCCCCACCCTTCTTCTCTCTCTACCCCCCCATTGACCTTCATTTCTCCCCCTTGTATTATTTTTCCCTTTCCCCTCATTTCCTCTTGTATGTTCTTTTGTATAACCCTGAGGGTCTCCTTCCATTTCCATGCAATTTCCCTTTTCTCTCCCTTTCCCTCCCACCTCTCGTCTCTGTTTAATGTTAATCTTCTTCTCATGCTCTTCGTCCCTACTCTGTTCTTAGTTACTCTCCTTATATCAAAGGAGACATTTGGCATTTGCTTTTTAGGGATTGGCTAGCTTCACTTAGCATAATCTGCTCTAGTGCCATCCATTTCCCTGCAAATTCTATGATTTTGTCATTTTTTAATGCAGAGTAATACTCCATTGTGTATAAATGCCACATTTTTTTAATCCATTCGTCTATTGAAGGGCATCTGGGTTGGTTCCAAAGTCTTGCTATTGTGAATTGAGCTGCTATGAACATCGATGTAGCAGTGTCCCTGTAGCATGCTCTTTTTAGGTCTTTAGGGAATAGACCAAGAAGGGGAATAGCTGGGTCAAATGGTGGTTCCATTCCCAGCTTTCCAAGGAATCTCCATACTGCTTTCCAAATTGGCTGCACCAATTTGCAGTCCCACCAGCAATGTACAAGTGTAGCCTTTTCCCCACATCCTTGCCAGCACTTGTTGTTGTTTGACTTCCTAATGGCTGCCAGTCTTACTGGAGTGAGATGGTATCTTAGGGTGGTTTTGATTTGCATTTCTCTGAGTGCTAGAGATGGTGAGCATTTTTTCATGTACTTGTTGATTGATTGTATGTCCTCCTCTGAGAAGTGTCTGTTCAGGTCCTTGGCCCATTTGTTGATTGGGTTGTTTGTTATCTTATTGTCTAATTTTTTGAGTTCTTTGTATACTCTGGATATTAGGGCTCTATCTGAAGTGTGAGGAGTAAAGATTTGTTCCCAGGATGTAGGCTCCCTATTTACCTCTCTTATTGTTTCTTTTGCTGAGAAAAAACTTTTTAGTTTGAGTAAGTCCCATTTGTTGATTCTAGTTATTAACTTTTGTGCTATGGGTGTCCTGTTGAGGAATTTGGAGCCTGACCCCACAGTATGTAGATTGTAGAGCAATTAGACAGACGAAAGAAATTAAAGGCATAAAAATAGGAAAAGAAGAACTTAAATTATCACTATTTGCAGATGACATGACTCTATACCCAGCAGACCCAAAAGGGTCTACAAAGAAACTATTAGAGCTAATAAATGAATTCAGCAAAGTGGCAGGATATAAAATCAACACGCATAAATCAAAGGCATTCCTGTATATCAGCGACAAATCCTCTGAAATGGAAATGAGGACAACCACTCCATTCACAATATCCTCAAAAAAAATAAAATACTTGGGAATCAACCTAACAAAAGAGGTGAAAGACTTATACAATGAAAACTACAGAACCCTAAAGAGAGAAATAGAAGATCTTAGAAGATGGAAAAATATACCCTGTTCATGGATAGGCAGAACTAACATCATCAAAATGGCGATATTACCAAAAGTTCTCTATAGGTTTAATGCAATGCCAATCAAAATCCCAACGGCATTTCTTGTAGAAATAGAGAAAGCAATCATGAAATTCATATGGAAAGACCCAGAATAGCAAAAACAATTCTAAACAGTAAGTGTGAATCAGGCGGTATAGCGATACCAGACTTCAAACTATACTACAGAGCAATAGTAACAAAAACAGCATGGTACTGGTACCAAAACAGGCGGGTTGACCAATGGTTCAGAATAGAGGACACAGAAACCAATCCACAAAACTACAACTATCTTATATTTGATCAAGGGGCTAAAAGCATGCAATGGAGGAAGGATAGCATCTTCAACAAATGGTGCTGAAAATCCATTTGCAACAAAATGAAACTGAATCCCTTTCTCTCGCCATGCACAAAAGTTAATTCAAAATGGATCAAGGAGCTTGATATCAAATTTAGTTGTTTAATATCCAAGTAAACATCTTAATTTGGTGGAAGTGAGACTATCTTCTGAAAATGTGATGGTTTATATATTGCATAAATTTGTGAAATTTAGGGATTTCTCAGGCATTATTTTCTTCCATGTGAATGCAGATTTTAGATAGATGATTGTGCCTTTCTTCTTGAATCTGTTATTTCCCTTTACTTCAGACTATTTCTTCTTTTTCTCTTCATTTCACTCATTTTTCTTTTAAATCATGTCTTTCCCCCGAGATATGAGCTTACCCTGTTCTTTTTAACATGCACTTAAAAAAAAAAAATCTATAATAGTGTTTTCCTTTGCAATTACTATGCAGACTCTTCATCTACATTTTAACCTCAGATAATCTTTAATTTTTTTTCTTTATTTTAGCCAGTGCGGTGGCATATGCCTGTAATCCCAGAGGCTGAGGCAGGAGGATAGCAAGTTAGAGTCAGCCTCAGCAACCTTGAGGCGCTAAGTAACTCAGTAAGATTCTGTCTCTAAATAAAATACAGAAAATAGGGATGCGGATGTGGCTCAGTGGTTGAGTTCTCCTGAGTTCAATCCCTAGGGACCGCCTGCCCTCTCAAATTTCTTTATTAGAGCTTCATAGTTATACATAGTAGTTGGGTTCATCCTGACAAACTCATAAATGCATGGAAATTGATTTTAGTTTAAACATCCCCTTCTTTTTTCCCTCCCCCTATCCCTTCTGTTCTCCCTCCTGTCTCCCATTTTCTTTCCCCTATTGTCTTGACTTACTTTCACCCATCTATTAATTTATATTTGACTGGTTCTTTATATTATCCTATCCTTTTTTTCTCCCTTTTCTTTATTTTACTCTAGTTTCTGCATATGAGACAAAACATTGGACCTTTGAGTTTCTAAGTTTGGCTTATTTCACTTAGCAAGATATTCTCCATTTCCATTCATTTACTGGCAAATGCCATAATTTCATTCTTTTTTATGGCTTAACAGAACTCCATTGGGGTGTGTGTGTGTGTTTGTGTGTATCACAATTTCCTAATCTGTTCATTTATTGATGGGCCCCTGGGTTGTTTCCATAATTTAGCAATTGTGAATTATGCTGCTATAAACATTGAGGTGGCTGTATTGCTGTAGTATGTGGATATAAGCTCTTTTGGGGGAAATACCAAGGAGTGGGATATCTGGGTTATATGGTGTTCCATCCCTAGGTTTTTGAGGAATCTCCATATTGTTTTCCAGAGTGGTTGTACTAGTCCTATAGTCCCACCAACAATTTACAAGTGTACTTCCCCCTCCCAACATTGCCAGCATTTATTGTTGTTCATATTCTTTTTTTAAATATATATATATATGTTTTAGTTGTAGTCGGACACAACACCTTTATTTCACTTGTTTATTTTTGTATGTGGTGCTGAGGATCGAACCCAGGGTCTTGCATGTGCGAGGCGAGCGCTTTACCACTGAGCCACAACCCCAGCCCTTGTTCATATTCTTGATCATCACCATTCTGACTGGAGTGAGGTGAAATCTAAGTACAGTTTTGATTTGCATTTTCCAGGTTGCTAGAGATGTTGAACATTTTTTCATATATTTGCGGCCATTTGTGTTTCTTCTTTTTGGGAAGTTTCTGTTTAGATCTTTTGTCCATTTGTTGATCAGGTTATTCGTTTTTTTGGTGCTAAATTTTTTGTATATTCTGGATATGAATTCACCATAAAAGGAGAAGCTGGCCAAGATTTTCTCCCATTCTGTTGGCCTTCTCTTCATGCTCTTAATCATTTTCTTTGCTGTGCAGAAACGTTTTAGTTTGATGGCAACCTACTTATTGATTCTTGGTTTTATTTCTTACACTTTGGTGTTCTTGTTAAGGAATTCAGTGCTAGCATGTATGTGGTGGAGTGTGGTCTCTATGTTTTCTAGCAGTTGCAAAATTTCTGATCTAGTTCCTAAGTGTTGGATCCATTTTGATTTACATTTTGTGCTGGGTAAGAGAGAGGAATCTTAATTTCATTTTTCTACATATAGCTATGTAGTTTTCCTAGCATCATTTGTTAAAAAAGAGTGTCTTTTCTCCAAGATATGTTTTTGGCACCTTTGTCAAATATCAGATGGCTGTAGGTATGTGCATTGGTCTCTGTTTTCAATCCTGTTCCATTGGTCTTCATGTC